CGTACTCGTGCTACATTATAAATATCAGGTAAGACCTGGGGAGTATAGACTTACTGGAGAGGACTGGAGCTAAGTTAAAGGAAATGTTTTGATAAAAATACAGTGTTGAAATAGTATTAGTTTAGTTCGATTCTTAGATATATCCTAAGAATCCTGCGGGGTACGTCCCGGATCTATTTTATAAATTCGCAAGGGCAAAAAACCCATCATATCGCATAACGGAATTCCGGATTTTGCCGGTCTGTCAGGTCCATGAACGCGTTGTTCTCTGGAACAACGTACGCATCACCCAATGCCTCCTTCTCCAGGTCGCGTCGGCGATTCTCCCGCTGCGCCACCCACCAGATAAGACACAGATCCAGCGTGACAACGAAATACAGCACGCAGATGGAGATCTTGGCCGGCATATACCCGGGGGCATCTTTGGCCTGGAAGGTCTGGGGCGAGATGATGTTGCCGACAGTGTAGGCGATGGTCTGGATGCAGGACACGGTGATCTTCTTAGTCGAGCCAGCGACATTGGTACTGGTGAGACCAAGAATCGTCGTCCATCCGAGTGGAATACCTCCAGTGAGGTAGTATCCGATAAGGGCGGGCACCTTGTTGGTCGTCGCCATCAAGATCGCACCGACGATGGCCAGGATATGACCGACGATGCACCAAAAGAGTCGGCGCTGTGTCTTCATTGCGAGATAAGTCAGGCCGATCAGCGCCACAACCTCATAAGCACCCATCGGGGTGACGAGCAGAAGACTTTCGTTTTTGGTGAAGCCCATGCCCGTTACCATGATGTTTCCGAAACTCGTTGCAGTGGAGTTTGGTACATTTGCCGCCATGACCCAGAAAGCGTAGAGCCAGGTGTGAGGATCGGTAAGGGCTTCGTAAACCTGTTCTTTTTTGAAGACATTGCTTCCGATTCCCTGGCCATTGCCGCGAAGACGCTCCGCGTGCATTGCCTTTTCTTCCACAGTCAAGAATTTCGCTGTTAAAGGGGAATCAGGCAAGAAGAAGAAGAAGAGGATGCCGACCAACACGGTCAACAGACCCAGAATCAGGAAAATAACCTGCCAGCCTCGCAGGGAGGCATTAGGATCTCCGCCGATGTGAGTTGCTACACCGTACGCGACGTAACCGCCGAACATTTGTGCAAATCCACACATGGAGAACCACAATCCGACGCGGAAAGCCTGTTCTTCCTTGCGGTACCATTGCGAGGTGAAGACAACCCAGGCGGGGATGATGGATGCTTCAGCGGCTCCCAGAAGCGTGCGGCAGACCATCAGGGAGGCGAAGGACTTGCATGCGGCCATGGAAGCCAGGATGGTACCCCAGATGGTGACGTTGACGGCGACGTATTTTGCGAGTGGGAATAATTGCATCACGCGCATTGTGGGGAAGGCGAGCGCGAGCTGGCCGAAAAAGAAGATACTCGACACCCAGTTGAATTGGTTGCCCTGGAGATTTGCTGACTCGCGCAGGCCTGTGACGCTGGCATAACTGATGGCGATTTTGTCGAGATATTGTAGGAAGTATACGATGCAGATCAGTGGCATGATATACAAATCAATTTTGCGCAGTAGTCGTCTCGATGCCGCGGGATCGAGGGCGCCTGGCGAACCAGCTTCGAGTAATTGGAGCGCTCCATCGCCTGTAGCCTGAACATATGGGGTTTTTTTCTCGTGTTCGGCCGAGATGCTCTCGACCGGTGATGTTTGAGCGGTCATCTTGAGAGTATGTAGTGAGATGTCGACTTCGAACCAGACGGGAGAACCCGTTAGTTAAGTACAGGCTTATGGAGCTTGCCAATATCGACAGGCTAGCACGCCATCGGCCATGGCTGTCACAATATTATTACCACCCAGTGGCGATTTGCTGGCTTATAGTCATTTTTCTGGGTCCTAGTGGAGACTTCCAAGGGTTCCCAAGCGAGGATTACCCCAAGCAGTTTAATTGGTGTTGGCAATGTATCTTAGAAAAACATCCATGGATGTATCTAGGTGTGGTACCTATATTGAGTCAAAAAAATAATTCATACTAAAGAGGCTAGGCATACCCTAAAAAGCATAAAAAGTACGTAGATAATATCTACCAGTACGGAGTATTCCGTACACTTCTAGTTTACCGACGGAATTGGTTAATACTTTTCCGGCCCCGGTCCCGGGGGACAGGAACTTTAGCGCCAAGTCCTAACACATGGCGACTCGGGTCCGGGGAGTTGGCCGGCCCCACTGGATAGTAAAATTCTTACCGGATGGCAATTGGTAAGAGATTAGGGGTATATTCTACACACATAAAAATAAGATATATAGTAAAATACCTGTATGTAGGAGAGAATCTAAAAAGATATATGAGGATTGGATCCATAGAATAACAACCTAGGAAGGTTTGGTTGAACTAGTAGATTAAACTTTTATATGTCTGCCCTATTTGGGCTCTTTACACTTTGATATGCACATATCAACCTAACCTTAGTAGAGATTTAAAGGCTATTAGAACTTTGTTTTATTTTCCCTTAATAGATTTGAGAAAATCATATGCTTATTTACTTTTATGCACTCCGTATGGAGTTGCTATACAAAAGATACCCCCTTACAATTTGTGGCCTAAAGGCTGTAAACGACCTATGAATTGCCCTTTCAAGTTAGTTCTGCCCTTTTAGGTTTAGCCCCGAATACTGGTACCATAAATGTATAGGTTAAAGCGAGAACCGAATTTTGATAAGGGAATAGGACGGGCAGCAACAACAATCAATGAGAAGCCTTGAAAATGGAAGCAAAAATTTGATTCCAAAACATAGTAGAAATATGTCTTGTGCTATGGAAAGTGATCAAATTATGATATTTGAATATAATGCGTAATATTCCTACAACATTCATAATCGGTTCCATAACTCAGTTGGTTAGAGTGTGGTGCTAATAACGCCAAAGTCGAGGGTTCGACCCCCTCTGGAACCATGTTTCATTTTTTTGTCATTTCGTAGCTTTTTGCTACTCTATATTCTTTATCTCTTTTGTCGGTATTTTTGCTTCTTATTCAAACAACAGAGGTATGTACGATACTCTGTAGGGTATATCGATCGTAGATACAATTTGTTCCCCTCATATCAATCAAGTCTAAACAACCAAACTATATAACCTGTGTATGATAGTGTTGCTGATTGAAATAAAAGTGTGGAACTGACTGTCAGATATTGAGTGGACGTACGAGAGAAAGGCAATGGTAGATATGAAAATAATTTCATAAATTTATCTAACGAGCGTCTATATCTTCAGTTGGTGAAACACTGAAAGTTGAAGCCATGAAATCACCACGAACTTCAATAATTGATGAAGATTATCTTTGCTAGGTTACCAGTTTAACATGGTAACAACAGTCTAGGTTGGTATTAGTGAATTGTATGATCAGAAATGGCATCGTAGCTTGAAGAAGCCCATTTCATCCTCGTTGTGTGTAAAAGGGTAAATGCGAACAACTGTTTACTTCAAACCCCGGTTGAACAATGCTAAGATGACTAAACTAAGCGTTGGAATACCACTTTCTGCCTCGGGCATTAATCTCATATTATTCGGCAGAGCTATATCGACTTGGTGATACTAGGCACGTCGAGCACTTTGCTTCTTCTTTAATATAAAAAATGAGATGGAGGATGTACAAAAAGCAAAGAAAGGACCAAAAAAGTTATCATGGTTCCAGAGGGGGTCGAACCCTCGACTTTGGCGTTATTAGCACCACACTCTAACCAACTGAGTTATGGAACCGATTATAATTGTCATGGGATTTTAATTATTATATTCGAAGATCATAGCTGTACCACAATACATTTAATTTATATACATATATCTACCCTACCACGACAGCCCAGGCGAGAAGTCCCCTGCAATGCACAAGCATGCACGCCACCAATTTGAAATACAGTATTCTTTCAAATGCATACAGTCTATTAAGTACAGAAAAAGGTGAGAGGTACATACAATCAATCAATTAATATAAATTAGTTTTCACATTACTGGAAGAAAAAACAAAGTGGCGTGCATGCATGTGCAGGGGACCTTCTCGCCAGGGCTGTCGTTCCATAATCAGTTATTATACTCTGTAGTACCGGCTTTATTTCTTTAAATTCCTTCTTGAAAGAGGATGGATTAAGCTGTAATACATGCTATTACTAGTCTTACTAGTCCCGCAACTAGTCCCTAATTCTTCCTACTTAATCTTATTTTATAACTAGTGGTCGGGTTCCGCAGGTATCTGTGTACACTGTGATAGAATTAAAAACTCGAAAAATAGAAAAATAGAAGTACGCTGGTTCCAGAGGGGGTCGAACCCTCGACTTTGGCGTTATTAGCACCACACTCTAACCAACTGAGTTATGGAACCAGTTATTAGTGCCTTCGAAGAATCTTAACCGTTAAATTTTAATGAGCTCTCAGATCACATGATTTCAGACACCCTAATTTTCAGGTATCCATGGAAGTGGGGCCCACATGTTTATCTAGTATCTCCTTCTCTCCTTCTCTCCCCATTTTAAGTATCTCGTTGAATGGACTTATTACTATAATGAGCTTGCCTTGTCACATTATGCTGAAGATACTTATTACGAAGCTCTATACTAAGAACTGGCGAACTGCACGTGCTTACACAACTGTACCTATAGAGGTTCCACCTTCTCGGTATCACTCTAGTTCAGCACCCACCTTCCTGATCAGAATGAATAGCACAGTAAGCCTTTACCATTGGGTATTGTAGATGTGAAACTGCACTACTTCGAGGCACTTGGTACGCTGTGGCAAGGCTATTTAAACCTACCTTTTTCATTGGATTTGATCTATAACAAACGACATTTAACAGTAAGCACAACTTAGCAAATGCAACCATCAAAGTTTCGACTTCGCTCGCCACCATCATCTTTTAATACCAAGCCCGAACTCAGCAAGTGCAACTATCTGAGTTTGGACCTCGCTCGCCACGAACAACATTATGGATCAACTTCGCGCCGAACTCAGCGCCGAATTCGCTTCCACAATTCAAGCCCTCTAAGGCGAGCTCTTAGTCCGCCTACAGCAATCAACCTTTCGACAGCAGGTTCAAGTGCGATTTCAGCCTCACTCGCCCTTACCATCATCCTTAAATCGAAACGACCGCAATCCTACCTGCACGTTCCGGCATCCATAACGTAAATACAATTCTCGATCAACCTCGCCGTGTGTACAATAGATACCAAGTGAGATTCACGAAGCCGAAGACCACCTCCTTTCGATTAAACAAGACCCCGGCTCCCTTCACTATTTACATCTTTACGAAGCCAAAGGTTCAAGTGCAATTCCATCACCTCGCTTCTGAACCGATTATCTCAACAGCTCAACCTTCCACGTACATACTACGAATTCATTAGGATCATACAGCAGCTCAGCGGCTATAGCCGCAATCACTCGTAGGGGAACAATAACAACAATGACGATGCGATGGACCTAAATACAGTTAACGCTAACATCGGTGGAGCACAATACAGAGCTATAGTTCCACTTAAAGCAGCGATAATGATAAAGATTTCGATGAGGATAATAATATCGATGAAAATGGACGAAACCAACATGAATGATAGATATTAAATATACAGAGGGACTATGAGAGATACAAAAATCTTGAGAAAAAAAAAAGAAATGAGCTGGTTCCAGAGGGGGTCGAACCCTCGACTTTGGCGTTATTAGCACCACACTCTAACCAACTGAGTTATGGAACCCATCTATAACGTATTCAGCGAGCTAATGCCTTCAAGAAAGTAGACTGTATATAAAATAGCCTCGTCTGGAGAACCGATCCACTTAGCAAAGCATCATCCTCTTCTTGACAATCAGCATAGTAAAGGCGAAATCTTAGTTACGTGCTAGAATTTTACTGCTACGTAATTATCTATTTCTAAATACATTAGAATCATCTTGCTTTTGTTGGAACTTGCTAGAACTTGCTATAAACGGCCTATCTAGCTTTGGACTTCTTGATAAAGTGTTTATGGTCTAGTTTAAGGGTATAGACCTATTTGCTAGGAAGGACCTTCGCTTTCTTGGGCTTAATGATCCAAAGTCTATGCTTTCTGGGCATTTAGATCATTCATTTGTTGCTCTGCAGCTTTATTTCACTAGGGCTATAATAATGACTTATTAGCCTGATTGTAGGAGGTCAGAATTGTGACGTTCCTCATATGAAGTAAAATGTTATTAATAACTAGTCTCTGATACCTAGGTAAATGGGGCTATTATCCGGTGGCTTGGTAGAATCAGCCGGATCAGTAATTGCCTTTGCCGCCGGTGGGGGTGGGAAAGCATTATTATTAGTCAACAGTTGCTGTGTTAGGAGTGTCTTCTTGTTCTTAGAACGCTAAATTGATAGTTTATCTACGTTGAGGAGCCTTAGATTCTCGTCTTTGTAACGATCCGGCATAATACCCTTTATGGATCGGGTAGATATTCTTGTTGGTGGAGCAAGTAATGGATTAGGTGCTGAGCTGATAGAAATAATTTATTATCTGGGTTTGGTTGACAATTCTCTCTCTCTGAAGAAGGAGTAATAGCGTAAACGATATTGATTAGGTCCATTGATTTCCCTTGAAGAGGCTGTTGCCGATGGGATATTAGGATCTCTTTGTTATCTTCTAGAACCCTTGGGTGATTCTGAGAACGGATATCTATACCCTTGTCTAGTAGGTGTTGGAGAACTAATCGAAGATGCACTGTCTAATCCCTAATAACTTAGTCTTTCCCACTTCTGACTTCTGTTGAACTTATCTATCTCTGCTCTGGACTGGTTCCAATTCTATTCAAACGCAGCCTTTCGTTCTTGGAGAGATGGGGATGATATCCTAGCTGACGATTGAGGCCTTAAAAAATTGCTTGAGACGCAGGCCCTAGGATCCATTTTGTGAGAGCGAGTCCTTTGCTCTATTGGGATACGAATATAGGCGAATGTACCCTAAGGACGTAAGTGCGCTAATGATGGATTTGGTCTTGGACGATTTAAAAATTCCCACTAATATGTTAATGGGGAGATGCCCGTCTTTGGGTTCATCAGCTGATTCGTAGTGTAAATTGACGCCTTAATTGCGTAAGGCTATAAATAGTCTAGCAATCCTGAGTTAATTATTATGGTCCTGTGGGTGTTATTTATGTATCCAATCCACTATAAAGTTTATCGACCCTATTAAGTTAAGTAGTATATAAAGGGGCGATCTCGAAAATCATGCCTTCCTCCTTGCCCTAAGGAATAGAATTGTTGAATTACGTCTTACCGTCGACTCGTTAAATCCCATATTCTGTAGTTTTATTCTTTTGTAGAAGGGGATCATCTTCGGAGAAACTTCATCCTTGCTATTGGCTATAATGCTATGACCTATGACCGTAGCGAGTAGTAACATCAATAATTGGGATATATATCACTTCCCCGTTCGGTCTAGGAGGCTTTAAAGCTTGACTGTCAATGTGGAATCTATACGCTGCATCTTATTCCCTGAATTGGACTTCTCTGAAAATTTGTGGCTTTTATTTCGCTAAATGCTAAGCTTCACAGTCGATATCAAGACCTTCTGGGAGCTCATCCTCTGTATCCACAATTTCAACATTCTTTGTGGTCGAGGATGCCTTTTTCCTTGCCCTTCAGGGGAATACCCTAAACCCCTGGCCGACAAGTTGATGGTGCCTTGGGTTTTTCCTTCGGGGTCTCCTTTTTATGAGCTGGTGAATTACTGGCTCATGGATAGTAACTGCTGTTTTCACTTTAGGCTTCCTGACGGCTTGTGGGGCTGTCCTGTATTGCCCACTGTTCTGTCGAATATTATCCGACTCGGCCTGCAATTTTCGATAGACTCGAATGGGCATACTAATGGTGACATCTTTGACGTCCTTATTTTTAAAATCCTCCTCGATGGATGAGATCGACGGTAATTCAAGTCTTGGTTCATTCAACAGTAAGACTAACAAATAGAACGGTGCTGGGGCGATACTATACAAATCAAGGTTCATCTTCGGCTGAGCTGAAGCTCGGCCGCTTTATCTTACCTAACTTGGTAACTTTAAGCCATTACTGAGTCACCCTATGATCGCCACCCATTATCTGCCTGGGCTCCGTGACAATGTTATCGGCGAAGATCTCCCCTATATCACCCTAAGACGCCTTGAAACAGTCCTTCAATTCACCGTCGATATGAGTATAGAGCCAACCGGCTATCATCATTGACCAATAACGCGATTTCTTTTGTCTCGTGTCTGTTGTGGGAGGTCTAGCGTATTTCACAGGGTCGATGACTCGCTTGGTTCTTGATTTCCATAGGAGAGAGAATGAATGAATCATACTATATCGGACCAGCGCTCAAAATTCTTATTGGATTGTTCGAGAATATCCATCTTTTGGAATTTGATATGATCCTTCTCTGGTAATTCGAAGGCTTGGTCATCTGGCTCCACGGTTGTAATGGGATTGGGACCCGGCTCAGGCATAATGAAGAAATATGTTCGTTTGATGAGAGATGATGATTAAAGATAATTAATTTTATTGATGAGAGAACTATTCAACGAATTATGCAAGACTCTTTGATGAGGGATCCACTGGTGAGGATGGGCGGAGGTGCAGACCCCGTATTCAAAAAGGTCAAGGCTGATGCCCTGGATCAAAGGGTTAAGACACTGTACAGAAATCGCTCTTGGGAGCGTGATGGTCAAAACGAATTCAACCAATAAAAGAAAGGTCTCATAACCTGTGGAGATCGTGGAATCGCATCAATGTGATGGATTCAATAGTCGATAACTAGAAACTAGATGACTAAATGACTAGTTAAGAGACATCAGGCATGCACCGATACCTTTAGACAAAGACCATAGGCTGCAATGAGTTACCTGACCCAGGAGACTCAACAAAGGGAATTCTACTAATGAAAGAGCATAGGACTACATAACTATATAACGTATTTCACATGCGAATGGCCACCACCAAAGCCTCATGGTAAATGTGATGTTTCATAACTTTAAATCTCAACATTCTTCTTGGGTCCCTTTTTTTTGTCGATAGCAGTTGATGGATATTTTGAACTCCATATATAGAGATTAAAGATATTAAAATGCTATGGTATCATGGTATTGAAAATCACCTTGTTGAGAACTAAAAATATATATATCGCGATCACAAAGTCATAGAATGTTTCTAATCCACCTTAAGAGGTTGGATGACATTTAAAAAACATTAACCTAATAAGGAAAACCCTTGCAGAAAACTATTGTTGAGATATCAAGTTGTAATTTATCGCATTTACTATGTTTTAAATGAATGGCACGTTAAAATGTTCTTACCTTCACGTCCCATTACCAGATTTTGGTTCATGATACCAAAAGTTTGGCCATCAACAACAATATGGTTCCATAACTCAGTTGGTTAGAGTGTGGTGCTAATAACGCCAAAGTCGAGGGTTCGACCCCCTCTGGAACCACATTTATTTTTTTCATTCTGTTATTTAGAATCTTTATTCATTTACTTTTTTTTATTTCTTTCTAATCAGTTCTAGTGAAAATCTCTTTATTACTTATATTCTTATATTTTTTTGTTATGATAAGTCACTTCTTTTTCGCTCCTCTTTCTCTATTTAGCCTTCCCAATTGGATGGGCGCTTAAATAGCGACTGAATATTTCTAAAACTCCTAGGTACTACCTAACTAGGTAGTGACTAGTCATTAATCTATTTTTATCTTCATAGTATTATTATAATAATTAGCATCACATGATCTGGTTCCATAACTCAGTTGGTTAGAGTGTGGTGCTAATAACGCCAAAGTCGAGGGTTCGACCCCCTCTGGAACCAACAATCATTTTTGTTATTTTTTTATTGAATCTATAGTCTTTCTATCCTTGTTTCTTAGATATGTATCACCTAATCCACATACCACGCCTGTCCTATTTAGTACACCTTTTCTAAGACTGGTCGGGACTATCTATAAATTTGCTACCAAAATATGATAACCGACTTCAAAAAGGATATACTAATATAGTATAAGTCTATATAGTTTTATCACTAGGGGTATATTAAGATCTGCTGGTCACTTCTCCGAGAATTTGCCCATTAGACCAAAAGGTCATAAACAAGTCAATTCATAGAATTGACTTAGTTGCAGTGGTACTTGGGCGGCCGTACAGCCACAGTATAGTATACAGATACGCCCAGTCTAATGCAAACCATGCGATCCCTTCTGAATCACAGTATATAATATCCTTATAAGACGCTTATACTCAGACTAGTTGATAGTAACTACCTCTCATAACACGATAGTATGCTAATTATTACATGGTATATTAAAAATGTAGTGTAAAGAGGACCTTAATCCTTTATAATTCAAATGTGCTAGAGGATCCTAGCCTAAAACATCAAAGAAATCTATAAGTAACAAAGAGAGTGTCACTAGGACTGATTAGAAAAAGAAATAAGAAAAAGTAAATGAATAAAGATTCTAAATAACAGAATGAAAAAAATAAATGTGGTTCCAGAGGGGGTCGAACCCTCGACTTTGGCGTTATTAGCACCACACTCTAACCAACTGAGTTATGGAACCAGATCATGTGATGGTGCGGAGAATTTGTGACTATCAACGGCTTGCTATATACATACCTATGTAGGTTTAGGTAGGTACATAGTTAGTAGGCCTTGTTGTTATGCTAATGTTGACACTCGTAAAATACTCATCATGGAATTTGTCCGCAGTTCCTAATAAGCTCTTGACTAGATTACGGTCGACGAGCGGAGATATCTGCCTGTAAGTTGGCCAAGCAAAAGACCTGGGAAACAGAATAGCAGACCACAATGATAGGTTCTATCGCAGAAAACATCCCAGCCTTCATTATCACGTTTGGGATTCGCAAGACATGTATTCTGTGTTCGCTATACTTGCGATATTCAACGGTGTAACCGAAGGACAGAATCTATCTAGATATGAACAATGTCTATTGAACCTGTTAGAGATGTGGATGGCCTGTTTGCTCAGAACCCTCACTGCCAAGGGCCTCGACACATATCTGCCTCCATCTGCGGACCGTTCATCCGCTGGCCGCCATCTCAACATCGTACCGCCTATTGGGAAGAGGTTTCACGACGAGAATTTACCAGCAAGGAATGAAGTTTTTGACTGAGCAGGTCAGATAACCCTGCCGTTAGATCATGGGTGCGCCAAGCTACATCTTCGTATAACGATCTCAGGAACTCTCCCGACCTACGGCTACGCCGCTATTGGGTTGAGAACAATCAGAGGCAGTTCCAGCAGGATTGGGATGCCAACGAAAGAGAGCCACTGATGGGATGAAAGTCTATCAGGTTGAGGGCAAAGAGAGAACCATACTTTGTGCTCCAGGCCGCGATCGTTATGAGATGGCGGTTTCTCGCCGCTACGCGTCTGAAGCAATCCCCTCGATCCAGCGAGTCGACTTGCAATATCGATCAAAGACTGCAATTTTTCCGGTAATGAAGTCGATGAAGGGATTCAAAGCTCTGGGAGCGAGGCCGCTATGAGAATAAACATGCTAGTCGATATTATAGAGGGTACCACTCTCACTGAGACTCGATTGTTTTGTCGCCGTTGGGATGTAACATATGCGCGATTGAAGCGAGCTGCCTGGAATGGCCGCATTATGCCGATGATCTCATGCAGGAGGTTGAAAAAGTTGTCAGCAGAAGGAGAATGCTTTCAATCGTCGAAGCCGAGGTTTCGCGAATACACAACCTTAAATGGGAAAACTTACCTATAGCTGCATAGTACGTTATGTCCTACCATCATCAAATCGAATCACTGGCCCAGTATTATGTGCAGCCTCAGCCCATGCTCTGCCTTGCTCTACTACTTCACCAATTGGGAGATGAAGTGCTTACCGTCCGTGAGAAACGTGAGGATTTGAGGCAGCAATGGCCGAGCGACCTCACCATGCAGCAATTCGCCGAGATAAGCTTAACATTCTCCGATCACGGCAAATGAGTGGTCACGGCGGTGACCACATAGGTTGTAGCAAAGAAAACAAAGCACAGAACCATTGGTTAGCCTTTTCGTTTTTGATACTTGGCTACGGATTACAATCATGACCTAATATTTGGTGGCCCTAAATGTAAGATATTTCATTATTTTTTAAGATATAGCATGCGGGATATTGGAAGCATTCTTAGAATGAGAAATGGCGGAACTAGAGTGCCTGATGCCGGCGATAGGATGTGTGCTTACACAGACCTTAACCGTCTTTTTAGATGTCATTCTATCGGTCTTCCCAATATTATGGTATGAATAGGTATTTAGTAATTCTTGCTCGTATAAAGGCCGCACGGTTATATGATAGGACAACGACTTAGCGATAATACCGTAAAATAATCACATAGCTGGGCTGTGATAGAGAAAAAAATGTATCCATTATTCTCAAAGTTCGGCTAATCTGAGTCTAGTGCCCTACTATGATTAGAATCTGGCTTAGATACCGGAAATGATGGACTATATGCTTGAATGCGGAAACTCTTGATATATCTTTACCACGCTATTATGTGCGTGATATACGGGATAGCATAATAAGTCCATTCTTTCCGCAAGCGCCGCCGAGGCCTGGTCTTTTGGAACAAGATGATCATCCCCATTTGAGATGAGCTTCACCAAGAGTCGCCCTCTCGGCGTGTACAAAGCCGAGACCCCGATACAATTCCAGCTCGGATTTGAAAGAAAGGAATGTGTTTGATTCTTCAAGACCAGAGGCTTGTTAATTACCTCTTTATCTGGTAAAAGATCGTGGCTCAAATATGGCAATCTTCAGGGCTACGGCTATCACCTGATCTTGGCGCTGGGTCTGTATAGCTCAAAAATTTGCTATCCGCGTACAATGGCTCAGAAAGGCCGTTGCCTACATCTAATTAGGATTAAATCCACTAGATCCAGGCACCGTACGTGAATGGCGAAGGCACAGGGTACCACCGAGCCATATATGATATACCCACGTAAATCCCCCAGAAAGTCTGAGAAAGACTTGCCCGACTGCATCAACATGACATGAAGTCCAGCCGGGATTGATTTGGTTGATCTTTGAGAAGGATAAAAAGACTGCAAGTTCAAAAAAAAGCAAAAAAAGAATCATGGTTCCAGAGGGGGTCGAACCCTCGACTTTGGCGTTATTAGCACCACACTCTAACCAACTGAGTTATGGAACCGATTATGATTATTCTTGGGGATATTATGCATCATAAACCTAAATCTCTGAAACCAGACAAAATCATATATCGATTTGTAAGCCAGCTTCAATTCGAATAAAACTAGGGCTATCCTAAAAGGACTCCCTCGGGCTCTTATTCGGAGCTCTTTTCCACTCGTTAAGCCTATTGAGGCCTCTTGCAGTAATTGTATTTCTAATGCGTTCTCCCGGTAACAAGTCCTTCACAGCGTTGGCGGTTAGGAACGATAGGTACTTCTATTACCATGTAGCCCACTAGCAAAATGAAGTCACTAATGTTTTCCGCTGACCTCACCAGTCTACTCAGTGAGGAAAAAGCGGCACGGGGTGAGTACTGAAGCGAAAGGGGAAAGCTATCTCGGCCTAAAATCCGGTGTATATGTCATTCAATAACAATAGCGTTTTCGTGTCATTCGTGCGAACATAAACCTCTCTATCCCTAATGTAACGAAAATATATCCAAACTGCCGCTATCTATGCAAGAATCAATTCCCACCCTAGCTCCTCCACAATATCTAACCAATGTACATTTTTCTGACCCATGCCAATAAACTGAGAATCGAAATTAGCATCCTGTCTCCCCCACAAGATCCCCAATAACTCTTTTGCACGCCTAACATTCCCAATCCCAAAATTATCCTGTAGCTTGCCCAAAGAACGAAGCACAACCTCTCTGTCCGCTACGTTATCACTCTCACACCCAGATATAAAGAGCGGGAATGTGAGCGCCGAGTATTCGCAGTGGTCACCCAGCGGGAAAGTCTCAACGCGGGAAAGACAGCGGTAGACGGCGAGGCTTTTCGGCGCGGAGATGAGAGGAGCCCAGTCTTGTGTTGAGAGAGATGGTGTCCCCTCTAGCCGAACGTTGACAATGGTACCAGTGTTGATGGAGGAAGAGGCATCTGGATAGGTTCTGCTAATGCGCTCCATGATCGAGTGGAGATAGACAAATCCTGCGTCACGGAAACATTCCGCTACGAGTTGAAGCCGAGTTAGGGTTGCTGGTGACGTCCCTTGGGGAATTATGTAGGGTGTTGAAGTGTGAGACCAGGTGAGGAGGGATTCGTTTCTGAGATGGGGTGTTAACACGGATGTTCGACTAGACTGCTTTTTATAACCACGGAGGGAGACAAACATGGATGCAACGCTGAGTCGAAGAGCCAACGTGTCAGTTTGGAGGGAAGGCAGCTCTGCGATGCGTGCACATAATTTGAGGATTTCCTCTGTGTATCCAATATATATGTCCAATTTTGGGATACCGATATCGCTATCGACAAAAAAATCCGTTGAAGTGATACACTTGCGGTTGCTGATCCGGGCCATGTTATAGGCATATACGAATCTAGATCATGGGATATTATGTTAGCGTTCGGTAACATACGTTGCAGGTTGTCACACATACAGTCCACGCAGGAACTCGGCTGCATCTCGATCCATTGAAGCAAATCCACCGCGTGAAACGATCAAACGTTGCAATGCATTGAGATGAACAACCCATTGCTTAACGCTACCACGGACGATCTCGTATTTGCATAGTAGACCGACTGCCAGCATGGCATCGTCAGGGAAAACCTCTGTTGAACACTTGTCCAGTGCTGCGCGGAGTCCGCTGAGCGTCCCACTGTAGTATTTGACTGCAGCCGTATGTGCTCCAAAGCCATGGGAGCGATTTGCTAGATGAAGAGCAGAGACGGCACATACGGCCTTCATCAGCAGAGGTGACGACATTGCCCTGGGAATCAACATCGACCGAAGGGGATTACCATCGCTCTCTAGATTTGCTAGCAGTCGAGACCCCTGCTCCATGTGATATTGGAGGTAATGAGTCTCATGTGTTGAGAGATGACTGATATACCCCTGAGGCTGTGGGATCACCGCGACAGAGCTATGCAAATCAATATCCAGGCCAGAACTGTATTCCTCTACATCCTGGACCGGACTGGTAGCTGCTTCAAATGATACATATCCCCGAGGAGAAGATGGAACAGACCAGGCCAGGGAAGTCCCCGGCCCGGGAGATAAATTAGTCTCGAGCCATGCATCCGAGGACGGGGACGGTGCCGGTGAAGGTAATTGAGACGACGAGGACGCACTGAGTCGTCGGCGTTTTGAAGTCTCCGTCTGTGAGAATACCTGGGCCGATGGACCTAACGGCTCTGCCCATATAGAGCCATAACCCTCGCACGTCCGGCCTTGCTTGAGACAATTGTTGCAACTGGACAAATTAGTTATGAAATACAAAATCAAATTCTAGCACGCACCTAGGTTTGGCCTTATCGCAGGCCTTGCGCCTTTTTTTGCAGGTTATGCATCCTGAGCGAGTCCATGCCGTGCCTGATTGCCGTGTCCTACCCTTTTTCGGGGCAGAAGTGGGCTGGCCGGGTGTGAAGGAAGACGACTGCGTCGAGCCATTCAGGGGAAAGGCATTCATAGTGTCAAGGAGCGCCTAGATAGTATGGAGATGCTCTAACAGGTACTAGTGACGGCATGCTTATCGCAGATATTGGACAAATTCAGACAAGCATGCGCTGTAGCGGGCATTAGCCCGCACAATTTATCGGAGAGTTATCGATAGCAAAACACACTAAGCCAAATTGGGACAATTCTACGCCGACCCCATACTCACGTGACATGGAAATTGTGGATTAAAGATCATGTGACATTGAACTTTAAATGCCCTCTTCTTATGTTATCTTGATAGAGAACAAGGTATATCCGTTTAGATCATTGAGATAGATTTAAAATAGTATTCTGAGTAGCTTGGGCGAGTCTTTTTTACTATAATTTTTACCTCGTATATCCATGTTCAATTCATTTTGCCCAATCTTTCAGTGCCAAGACCCCTCTTCTCCAACGCTCCACTTGCCCTGGGTTCTTTCCTAATTAGGCAGGTACAGCCAGACCTTATGTAACCCGATAAGATCCCCCCGGATTGCGACGAGATATTTAAGTGCAGGCATTGCGTCTTATCCTCTCATTCATTACATCTCTTGCTTTTTTCACTTCTCCGTGGACTCGTGTGGCATCTCCTCCCTAATATCTCACAACCGCCTCATATCTCCACCTCAGAAGTGTACCCCCAACACTGCCAAAATGGTGACCAACTACGGCCCTCACCCATTCGACCCAATCACACCGGAGGAGATCAAGCTCGCCGTACGCATCCTTGAGGCGACCTTCCCAGGCGTCTCTCTGCGCTACAAGCGCATCGATGTCAATGAGCCTATCAAGAAGGATGTTATCGCATACATTGAAGCAGAGCGCTTACGGCGCCCGTTGCCCCCACCACCGGCCCGTCTCCTCTATGTGCTCTTCCATCGTCTGGATACTGGCGCCTTCTACAAGGCTCTTCTCAATGCTGACAAGCGCACCATTGTCTATGCCAAGGAACTTCCCAAGGAGGTTCAGGTGAGCAGAGGCCACTCCCGAAGCAAGAAACAGGGTTTACTAACAGTTCTGCTTTATAGGGCCCGATTGATATCGATGAAATTGCCGGGATCGAAGCAATGTGCATGAAACACCCCGCCGTGCTGGCCGAGATCGAGAAATTACAACTCCCCGCGGGCGTCACTGTTTGCAATGACCCTTGGATGTACGGCACAGACAGTGACAACGAGGACCGACGGCTCTTCCAATGCTTTATGTACATGGTCGAAGTGGATCACCCCCAGAACAATCACTACTCTCTGCCTTGCAAGTTCTCACCGGTGTTCGACGGTCTCACTCATGAGTTGATCCGCATGGACTACCTCCCCGGCGGTGCTGATTTCGAGACTACGTCTACCCAGCCTTGGAAGCCTGTCAAGACAGTCCAGTATGCCCACGACCTCTTGGATGAGCCCCTTCGCACCGATCTCAAGCCCTATATCGTACAACAGCCCGAGGGTCCTTCTTACTCGGTGGATGGCAACTCCGTCTACTGGCAGAAGTGGCGCTTCAGAGTCGGTTTCAACGCTCGCGAAGGCTTGGTTATCTACAACGTAACATATGACAACAGAAACATCTTCTATCGTTTGGCTGTTTCTGAGATGACCGTTCCATATGGAGGTAAGTGGGATCAGAACCCTATCACCCCTAACTCCTAGCGGATTTGACTAACATGAATCTAGATCCCCGAGCTCCCTACCACCGCAAGCAGGCCTTTGATGTCGGCGACACTGGTTTTGGTATGAACGCCAATCAGTTGACACTTGGATGTGACTGTCTTGGCCACATCAAGTATTTCGATGGTTACAGCAACGACTCTAAAGGCAACCCACTGCAGATGAAGAACGTGATTTGCATGCATGAACAAGATAACGGTTTGCAGCACAAGCACACCAACTATCGCACCGGTGCTGCTACCGTTGTGCGCAACCGCCAGTTGGTCCTACAGATGATCTGCACTGTGGCTAACTATGAGTACATCTTCAACTATATCTTTGATCAAGCTGCCAATGTTGAATTGGAAGTTCGAGCCACCGGCATTCTTTCCACCGTTCCATTCGACAACCAGAACGGCGAGACCGTCCCCTGGGGTACTAACGTCGGTCCTGGTGTTATGGCTCCCTTCCATCAGCACATGTTCTCCCTTCGAATTGACCCCGCCATTGATGGATTTAAAAACACCGTCTACTACGAGGACAGCGTTCCTATGCCAGAAGACGAGAAGAATCCCTACCTTGTGGGCTATACCTCAGAGGCTACGGTGATGCGCACGGCAGGAACAGCGAACACCAGCGTGGATCGCCACCGAGTCTTCAAGATCCGCAACGACAATATTACCAACCCAATCACCTACAAGCCTGTTGCATACAAGCTTATGGCAGCTCCCAGCCAAATGCTCTTGGTCAGCCCGAATGCCCATGGCTACCGACGTGCTGAGTTTGCCACCAAGCCGATCTGGGTCACTAAGTACCAGGATGATGAACTGTACGCTGCAGGCGAGTTCACCAACCAAAGCCGCCGCGCCGAGGGCGTCGAGACTTGGGTACAGCGTAAGGACAACACCGAGAACGAAGACGTCGTTCTTTGGCACAGTAAGCATTCCTCCCCGCGACTTGATCTGTACTATATAACTAACAACCCCCTGCAGCCTTTGGTCTTACCCACAATCCCCGCATCGAGGACTTCCCCGTCATGCCGATGGAGCGTATCAGCATCATGCTGAAGCCCGATGGCTTCTTTAACAAGAATCCGGCTCTTGACGTCCCGCAATCCTCTCAGTTGTTCAATAAATCTTCACTCCACCCCGAGGAGAAGCCTGCTGCCTGTTGTGCCGGTGCTTCGTCTGCCGGCTCCAAGGCAAAGCTGTACAAGCGCATTGACTAGTTCGCTTTCTTTTGAACCAACCCATAGATACCCCATACACTCGTCCCAAAGCCCAGGCACATATTTATGGTTTCAGAGGGTGTGTTCTGTCCATATGAATCTGCTTGGCGGGTTTTCTCTCCCTTCATTTTGGCCCTTTTCGGTTGGGCCGAACGATATTTCATGATTTACCATTTCAATAGAGCACAATTCTTATTCAATATTTTCTACATGTAATGCAATAAACACTGACTGCAAGAATAGAAATTACCAGTAGGCTTGTAGTTATATCCATAGTTGAATCACTTTGTGAGTAAACTAGTTTGTATTGACAAGGGAGTAATAGTGATGATAATGCGCAGAGAAAAATGAAATAGCAGATCGCCTCATATGAAGGGTTTATGGAACGCCGAGTTGAAACAAACCCGAAATGAAAATGGACAAGAGAATAAATGCAGAGCATATGGCGAAGAAAAAGAAGAAATCTCAATATAGATCCAATAAAAAAAGTTCGCCAATATCATCCCGTCATATAATGACCAGCATACCAAGAGCTCGAAATCAGTGGCATTACCGACGGCCCGAATCAGAGCTATGAGGAACATGGCCCTCAAACAGGTCCTCAAGGTACGCGCTAGGAGCACGACCCTGCGGCGCCTGGTTCAGATTCAAGGAACTCGTCGAGGCACCCACATAAGAATGGCGCTGATTATGCGAGTCATGGTATACACCAGCCGGAGGCAAGGATGGCGACGAGAGGCCAGCAGTGGGCGAGTATAGCGGCTCTGGAGCGGGGTTGGAGCTACCGGCAGCAGCGTAGTATCCAGCAGGCAGGTATGTTGAGGCGCGATTTCCCGCGCTTCCTGCAGCGTGCAGACTGGCATGTGATGCAGTGGGACCGCCGGCAGTAGGCGAAAAGAAAAGGCCGCTGCTCGCGCTCGGTACTCGGTTGGGCTTGTAGCTTGTGCGAGTTGCGGCGCCGAGTTTGTGAAGGGATACGTCGGTCGCTGGGGCGGCGGAGTAGGGAATTGATCGCTTCTTTCTGCTGCCACGGAGGAGGCGCTTAGATTCCGAGGCGTGCATTACGGCGGCGCGCCGCACTGAGCGGTTTACGGACCATGCAACCATTGCGTGCCATGCGAGAAGAGTTAGGCCGATTAGCCCTAGCGCGGCGCCGACAGCGATGAACACTGTGCCTTCTGGTGCATTGCTCTCTTGCATATATGGGGCGTTGGCTGTTGGTGGTATCGTCACAATGGCGGCGTCAGTTGTGGTGGTGGAGGATGATGTTGATGATTCCGTTGTCGTGGAGACGGATGATGCTGTTGTAGTGCTGTCTGACTTCGTGGAGGAGGAGGAGGATGTGGTGGTTGTATCCATGGTTGTGTCTGTAGAGTCGGAGGAGGTGGTACTCGTAGATTTTGATTTCGATGTGGAAGTGGTTGAAGATGTGGTGGTCTCACTCACACTAGAGGTTGTTTGAGTGGTGGAGAGATCGTCGGTGGTCTTAGCCGCATCGGTATCTGTTGTTGTCTCGTCGGCCGGTACGGCAGACACTTGAGCAGCGATGGAAATGACCAAAAGCAGTAACAGGAGGAATGACGGCTTGGATTTCCCAAGCCCTTGCGGTAGAACTCGCATGGCGGCGTAAAGAATCGATCACCTGCTTCTCCACAGTATGCGGGTCACTCGGAGTAGGCGCCGATCCCAACGACAGCGAGGAACAAGGAAGATTATCGATTCTTGTCAGGTCATCAATGAAAGCTGGGCAACAAGGCTAAAGTCTCTGTTGATTCCGAAAATAACTGCGACTTGTCTCTTGTGGAAGATTGGATGCTCAACTCAGGCTGCAGGTTACGGATCCACAGTCAACAAATTTCCATATGAGGTGAGGGCTTGGGAATCCCTCAAAAACGAATGACTGTTATTTAAGTGAGGTCAACGAGTGCCTGAAGATGACCGTAAGACATATCCTTAACCGAGAATTGGAAGAAACCAAAAGACGCCAACGCTAAAGGAGAGGGGGTGCCTTAGGCAAGACTGAGACTGTCACCTGACAGTTTCCAAAAAAAGACATAAAGGACTTGAATTTACTTAGGCAAATCCCACATTCAAAAACAGCGAAAACATGATTTATCATAC